GTAATGGCTATGTCGCTGGACTCCCACGTAGTCGACTGTGGTTCGCGTCCCAGACCCCGTGGCTTAAAACTCACGCCGGGCACATGTGCATGCGTGCCCAGGATCCCGAGAAGAGAATGGAGGAGAAGGGATTGCGGCCTGACCATCCCCCCGGGGGGTGATTTCTCGCTTTCTGTCTCTATGTCTCTCTCTGTCTGTCTGGTGAGCGCACACGCCCTATAACGAAAACCTCTCCAAAAAAAAAAAAAGAGACAGATTCCTGGGACCATCAGGTGGCGTGGTGTTTAAGGTGCTGGACTCCCACGTGGCCTACCATGCTTCAAGTCCTACACCTTGTGGCTTGCCTTCTCCCTTTCCCTATCTCTCTCTCTCTCTCTGGTAAAATTAAAGTAAATGAATGAATAAATAAAATTAAATAAATACTTTTTTTAAAAAAAGAGAGAGACATATTCCATATGGCCCACTGCAGTTCAAATCTTGGCCCCAGTAGCTTGAAAAACACAATAGATATGTGTTTGACAGTGAGCAAAATTCCTAATGAAATGGAGAAAGAGAAGGTGGGAAAAGGATGTGGCATGACCATGTCCTGCTGGGGGTGGTGTTTCCTCCCTCCTTTCTCTGTCTGGGAAGTGTACATGCCCTTTGGTAATAAAAATATTGGGAAAAAAACACCTTCATAAAGGAGTTACATCATGCGCATTTAATGTAATAGTATATTAACTATTGAAATCAAACTGTTGAAGAATGTTTAATGATTTGGGAATGTTTGTAATTTGCTGAGTGAGGTGCAAAATTCTACAGGTGCCAGAATTATATTTTGTCACATTTTGTATATACGGATTTATATCTATCCAGAAAAATACATATGAAATACCTGGAAGGAAATACAAGTTCAAAAATTATTTCTGTTTGTTTAAATTATAGGTGATTTAAATGTTCTTATCCCTTAGGTATTTGCCAAACTTTTTTTCTTCCCTGAGTAAGCAGTATTTATTTACTTATTTGTTTAATCTTTGCCAGAGGGCATGAGCTTGCAAGAGAGAGAGAGAGATTGGGGGTAGGGGGAGAAAACACCCCCTAATGGAACTAGCTAACACCACAGTCCCTTCTCCGTCCTTCTATCCTGTCAGGATTTTGAACATGTATACACACATGTACCCATGTGTTTCTCAAGCTGCTGGTACCGGCATTTGAACTGTGCTGTCAGCCATTTCAGATCTCCTAACAACCAGATCACAGGGCCAGCCCAAGCTGTACGTGTTTTCCTTCCCCCCCCTCTAGCTTTATTAAGGTATAACTGGTATACAAAAAAATTGTATGTAATGACTATGAACAATTCGGTGAGCCGGGCCGTGTGTATAACCACCACGGTCAAGGTAATCAGCAATCACACCACCTCCAGGAGCTTCTGTGTTCCTTTGTTGTTTGTGTGGGACGTGTAATTATTTTTGAACAATAATAATAAGAATTAGAAAACAAGGCCTAGACTTCATATTCATTACACAGTCAATAGAGAAACAACCCAGGCCAGGCCTTCAAGAAACTTCTAGTCTGTAGGAGAAACAGCCATGCAAAGCAGAAGTTATATTGCAGGGTACAGTTATTTCTCTTCCTTTGGAAATGTTTGAAGGCCTAGGGGGGAAAGAGGAACCAGCGTTTTGGTTCTGGTTTGGTCTCTGGGTTGAATAGACTATCTGTTGTGAAAGTGTATTGTGCAAAAAGAGAATGGAGCTTTTTGTGAAGGGAGATAAAGAGGGTGTAGGGAGGGACCAGAGGACTGAGAGGAGGCAGCAGGGTAGGCAGCTCCCTGAGAGGGCTGGGAAGCACCCCTTCACTGGGTGGGCTTGAGCAGTGCTATTCTCCCCAGCCTGCATCCGGGTGTCTGTGTTCAGGGCTAGCCCAGTACCTGACGCTGCATTCATCGCAGGGGCTCAGTTGATGTTTATTGTCCATAAGAACAGATAAATGAATGAGCTTGTAATGTAGTGATTCACTCCCATGAATTTCCTTTAAGGCATTAATTAAAAACTTGGGAAAACAAAACAAAACAAAAGTCTCAGCTGTGAAGCTGCGATGATGGGCAAGACGAGGGGATTTTAATCCTCTCCACCAAGGCAGCTGGTGAATGAGGTGTGTCCGCTGCAGCATGTGGGGGAACCTGAGTTCAAGCTCACATGTGGCAGTGACTGGAGTGTGAAGAGCCCTTGGCTGTGGTGACCTGCCGGCTCCGTGACCTGGGCCAGGCTCCGTCTCTGAATGCATCACTGCCTATGAAAGGGGCTTAGGGAGACCTGTGTTTGTGGAGATCAAATGGAATATGTATGTAGGTAATGTGTAGACAGTAAAGCCCTCTGCAAATGGAAGGAGCTATTAATGCAAAAAATTTTTTTAACCATAGGGTGTGTGCACTCACTGGAGAGAGACAGAGAGGGGGGAAGAGAGAAATCACCCCGCAGGGGGAAGGCCATGCCCCAATCCCTTCCCCTTCAGTCTCCTCTCAGGATTTTGGGCATGTGCACACACGCACCTGGCATGTGTTTCAAGTCACTGAGTCTGAGATTGGAACTGTGGAGTTGGCCATGTGGGATCCAGAGACTTAACCACCACACCAGTAAGCCCAGGAGGGGGTGGAGAGCAATGCCATTGCACATTGCTTCCAGCACACATGCCCTCTGGCAAAAATTTGAAAAAATGAAGAAGCAAAAAAAGAAAGAAAAGAAAAGTGGTAACCTGCTCAGGTAGGCAAGGGGACGGGACATTTAGCAGGGGAAACAGACTTCGGAAACAAGTTACATAACCTCTCTAAGCCTCAGTTTCCTGCTCTGAAGAATCCTTGGGGCCGGCAGTTAGTGTGGTAGTTGGAGGGCTGGACTCCCACATGGCTGACCATGGTTCAAGTCCCACACCTGGTGGCTTGCTTTCTCATTTTCCCTCTTTGTCTCTCTGGTGAGCAAATTTAAATATAATAATAGGGGCCAGCAGGTGGTGTGGTGGTTAAGGCACTGGACTCCCACGTGGCCGACTGCAGTTCAAGTCCTGGACCTGGCAACTTGCCTTCTCACGCTCTCTCTGTCACTCTCTGGTAAAATTAAATAATAATAATAAATTAAATAAACAATAATTTTAATAAAAATAATAGTGATAAATAAAGTTTTTAAAAAATTCTTCTTCACCACTGAAGGAGATAATATATGCAAAGAACCTAGCTCAGTGCCTGGCCTATAATAGCTACAGAAGAAAACCTGTTCTTTGTCCCTTTAGTATCAAAATCAGTTCCTCTTTGAAGCTTACTTCCTGTTCACATTTTGTTCTTTTCCTCAGTTCCTCTAGATATCATGACTGTTCATGTGGGCCCTTGTACCCAGATGATTTTCCAGAATCTGCAAAATAATCTTAAAACAGATCATATTTTCCACCACAAAGAAAATCCCAATAAATCTGAAAATGTAGATACCATATAGGCCACATTCCCTGTTCACAATATACTAAAACTAGAAAGTAATGTTAGAAATCAGCTATTTAAAAGGATCTAAAATAGCCTGTGAGCGAAGGAGGGAATAAAGTGGTGGGGCCAGCAGATGGGATAGCGGTTACATCGCTAGACTCCCACATGGCCCACCACGGTTCCAGTTCCAGACTGAGTGGCGCAAAACTCACACCGGGTACATGTGCATGCATGCCCGAGATCCCAGGAGGAGAATGGAGGAGAAGGGATTGTAGCATGGCCATCCCCCCTGGAAGGAGATTTCCCTCTCACTCTGTCTGTCATGAATCAGGCACAGTACAGGGCAAATGGTAGCTTGTACAGGTGGCATATCCCTATTCAAAATGCTTGAGTCCAGAAGTGCCTCAGAGTTTAGAATTTTTTATTTTTTTAAAGAATGACTTTATTTATCCATTTATTTCTTTATTAATTTGACCAGGGAAGGATAGAGTGAGAGAAAGAGAGAACGCAAGCCACCAGGTCCAGGACTCGAACCTCAGTCGGTCATGCCACCTGCCGGCCCCTCGTTCATTTATTTTAATTTGATCATAGAGAGAGAGGGAAAGTGAGAAAGCAAGCCACCAGGTCCAGGACTCGAACTGTGGTCAGTCATGGGGGAGTATCCAGCGCCTCAGCCACCACACCACCTGCTGGCCCCAGATTTTGGAATATTTACATTATACATAATGAGGTATCGGGAAGATGGGACCCAAGTCTAAACACAAAATTTCTTTATGTTCCGCATATACTTTATATTCAGCCTGAAGGTAATTTTATACAGTATTTTTGTGTTGAAGTGTTTGGACTGTGACCTATCATGAGAAGTCACATGTGCGAGTCTCCACTCATGGCATCATGTTAGCACTAAAACGTTTCAGTTGGGCCTACTCTCTACCTAGTAGTGAAGGGAGCCAAAACCCACATGGCCAACCAGGGTTTGAGTCCCAGCCCCTGGGAGCTTGAAAGACATGCCAGGCACATTTACATGCATATACAAAATCCTGGCAGGATGGAGAAATAGAGAAGGGATTGCAGCATGACCACACCCTACTGGGGGAAGCTTTCTCCTTCTTCCTCTCCCTGTCTCTGTCTCTCTGCCTCTCTCTGGCTAGCACATGTGCCATCAGACAACTAAAAAATAAAGTTTTGGGTTTTGAAGCATTTTGGACTTCAGATTTTCAATTAGGAACACTCAACTGGTATTATCATTCTCCAGTGGCCTCACCTCTTATCCATGACAAATAGTTCTGTGCATCTCTCAGCTGTTGGCCAACTCTACCTGCGTGTTTTCCTGATACGTCAATTGTTCAAAACAGAGCTCATCTTCCCCTGCCAGTGTCTACGCCAAACCTGCCCCACCCTGGGCTCCAGTCTATAGCATCACTGTCCATCTAGGACCAACCAGAAACTCGGCACTCCTTCTCCACCCCCAGGCCCATTCATGCCCAAGGTTTGTAGGTGGAACTGTGTCTCAGGTGTTCATCACCCTCACCACTCCCTGCTTTTTTTTCTTGACAGAGGAAAACACGAATGCAGTTCCCCACTGCCACCAATTATGCAGTCGCGTTTCCCGCATCTGGGGAAGTCACAAGGGTCAGTACATCGAGAGTGCAGTGGATAAGTCTCGCCCTAGGAAAACCACCTTCGTGATCCTGGTACCTCTTCTGTCAGGTACGTAAACTCCCTACTTTTACCTTAACCATTTTAGGTTGGCTTTTCTGCCTTTCCTAATTGAAAGAGCGCTCTCTGGCTCCCTCTGGCTCTCTAATATTCACCTACTTCTGCATTAGCAAGTTCCACGTGGACTCGCAGATCCCTCACTGTTGTTGTTGTTCTAAATACTCTGCTATGGACCAGCAGATGATGTCATGGTTATGTCACTGAACTCCCACGTACGACCGTGGCTCGAGTCCCATACCCAATGACTTAAAACTCACACTGGGGGCTAGCAGGTGGCATGGTGGTTAAGGGCGCTGGACTCCCATTGCTGACCATAGCTTGAGTCCTAGACCTGGTGGCTTTTCTCGCTTTCCCTCTCTCTCTTTCTGTCCCTCTCTGTTCAAATTAAAATAAGTCAATAAAGTTAAATAAAATAATTCTAAAACAAAACAAAACAAAACAAAAAAATACTCACACTGGGCATGTGTGCGTGCATGCCCAAAATCCCAAGAAGAGAATCCAGGAGAAGGGTTTGCAGCATGGCCATCCCCCCTGGGGGTGTTTTCTCACTTTCTGTCTCTTCAGTGAGCTCACGTGCCTTATAGCAAAAACGTCTCCCCTCAAAATAAGTAAATACTCTGCTTTTCTTCACTTTGGTAGATGAACACTGCACATACATCTTGCTGAAAGAAAAGGAATCAGGGACCAGCAGGTGGCGTGGTGGTTAAGGTGCTGGACACTCCCTCATGGCCAGCCAGGGTTCAAGTTCTAAGTCTGGTGGCTTGCTTTCTCACCTCCTCTCTCTCTCACTCTCACCCTCTGTCTCTCTCTGGCAAAACTAAAAAATAAATGAATGAATAAATAAAATAAAATAAATAATTTTTAAAAAGAAAGAAAAGGAATCATTTTTGAGCAATCTGAGTTCCTGTCTCCTCTGTACCTCCAAATAGGTGAGTCACATATACATTTCCAGGGTTTCAGCAAATTCTCTAGCTGTCATCTGGCTTCCATCCTGAAATCCAGAGCAACCCTCCTACAGAGAAAGGCAGAGCCGACCGAGGTGACAGGGAATCCAGGGTGTTCTGAGTCTCCTGAGGGCTAAACTGACCAGACCTGCCTCTCCTGGCCTATCTCCAGAGACAGAGAGAAGTCACGTCATGCTTGGAAGAGCAGCAAGCCTGGCAGGCATGATGAGGAGAGAAGTGATTAAAGACAAGGGTCAGCCAGAGACAGCCCACTCACTGCCGAACAAATGGCAAATTGGAGCCAGCAGATGGCGTAGTGGTTACGTCACTGGACTTCCACATAGCTGACCCTCCATTGGAGTCCTGGACCTAGCGGCTTGAAAATCACCCCAGGTACATATGTGTGTGTGCCCAAAATCCCAGGAGGACACAGATTGCAGTGTAGCCATCCACCCTTGGGGGTGACTTCTCATTTTCCCTCTTTTTCTGTCTCTCTCTCTTTCTTTCTGGTGAGCATGTGCACCCTATGGGAAACCCCACCACCACCCCCCGACCAAAAAAAGAAAGAAAGAGAGAAAGAAAGAAAGAAGGAAGGAAGGAAGGAAGGAAGGAAGGAAGGCAGGTAGGCAGGCAGGCAGGCAGGCAGGCTGTCTGGGCCCAGTGCCCAGACCCTGGGAACACGTATCATGCTACAATCCTCCAGCAGAGGGCGCTCACAGCATGAGGTGCTCCCACGCCAATCACTGCTCCCAGTGCCAGCAACCAAACTGCAGAGCACAGCCCTGCCCTGTCCTGTCTTGCTTGGTCAGAGCAGACCTGGTACAGGAAACCTGTTGAGTCATTTAGAGGAGAGATCTGGGAGTGTTGGTGCAGAGGGAGGATAGAGTACATGGCACCCACGTCAGGAGCTGATTCCCTTTAATCCTAACTTGCACATCCCTTTGTAATTCATTTTGCACCAGTTTGGCTCCCACTCTGGTATAGGACTGAGTAGTTCAACCAGGACTTTCTCGTTCACTGCTGCCAGATTAATTTGCTGAAAATAGCACTCAAGAGCCAGCCTCTGGTGCAATGATTAAGGTGACTGGATCCCATATGGCTAAACTTGAGTTTCAAGTCCTGGACCCAGTGACTTAAGAAAAACATTGGGGGTGTGTGTGTGCATGTCCCAAAACATTGGGTGTGTGCACGTGCATGTCCCAAATCCTGATAGGCTACAGAGCTGACCCATATTTCTTCTTCTTTTTAAAATTTTTCTATTTTTCTTTTTAGGGTTTTTGCCATAGAGTGCATGTGCTCTTTAGAGAGAGACAGAGAGAGGGAAAGCAAGAAATCATACCCCCAGGGTAGATGGCAATGCCACAATCCCTTCTCCAGTCTCAGCATTTTGGGCATGCACGCACATGCACCTGGCAGGATTTTCAAACTACTGGATCTGGGACTCAAACTGCAGTCATCCATGAGAATTCAGTGCCTTCACCACCACACCACTTGCTGGCCCTCTCTTTCTTCCTTTAGATTTTTCCCCCTACATTAAAAAAATTTTAATAATAAAAAAAATGAAAATAAAAAAAATAATAAAACCTCTCAAAAAAAAAAAAAAGCAGTGAGTCTCAGGCTAGCAGGTGGCGTGGTGGTTAAGGCACTGAATCGCACATGGCCAACCCTATGGTTCAAGTCTAGGACCCAGCAGCTTGAAAAATACTCTGGGCATGGGTGCATGAGTGCCCAAAATCATGAGAGAAGAATGAAGAAGGAATTGTAGCATGACCATCCCCTTAGGGGGTGATTTCTTATTTTCCCTCTCTTTGTCTCTCTCTAATGCACCTTATAACAAAAATCTAAAAAAAAAAAAAGAACAACATGAAGGTGTGAGTCTCAGGGAGCTGGGTGGGGAAGACTCACCCTTAATGTAATGGGCACCATCCAATTTCTGGGGCCAGAGAGAACAAGTAGAAAAGCCAGATTGGCCTCTTTTGGAGAGTGGAATAGACTTCTGCTGCTGCCTCAGACATCACAACTCTAGGCTTGTCTGCCTTTGAAGTCCAGGACCCACACCAGTAGCCTCCCAAGTTCTTAGGCTTTTGGACTCCCACTGAGAATTACACCAGTGGCTTCCTTGGCTGTGAGGCCTTCCAACTTGGACTGAGCCACGCCACCAGCATCCAGGGTCTTCAGCTTGCAGGTGGCCTGTTGTGGGACTTTTCAGCTGCCATAATTGTATGAGCCAATCCTCCTAATAAATTCCCTCTCATATATCTATACATGTAACTGTTGGTTCTGTCTCTCTAGAGAACCCTGACTAATACAAGCAGATATACCTTCTTCCCAAGTGCACATGGAACATTCTCCAGCCACTACATATAGACTACATATAGGCTACAAAACACATCTTAACACATAATAAAAGACTAAAATCAGAAAGCATCTGTTCCAATAACAATGCAATGAAACTAGAAATCGATAACACAAGCAAAACTAGAAAACCCACAAATTGGTGGAAATTAAACAACACAGTCTTAAACAACCAAAGAGTCAAAGATGAAATCACAGGGGAAATTAGAAAATATCTTGAGACAAATGAAAACGAAAACACAACATACCAAAACCCATGGGACGAGTGCAGTTTATTGCTGCAAACACTGACATTAAAAAAGAAGAAAGACTCGGGACCCGCAGTTGGCATAATGGCTATGTCGCTGGACTCCCATGTAGTCGACCGCAGTTTGAATCCCGGACCCAGTGGCTTAAACTCACGCCAGGCACGTGTGCGTGCATGCCCAAGATCTTGAGAGGAGAATGGAGGAGAAAGGGATTGCGGCGTGGCCATCCCCCCCCGGGGGGGGGTGATTTCTCGCTTTCTGTTTCTCTGTCTCTCTGTCTTTCTGGCGAGTGCACTCGCTCTATAGCAAAAACCTCTCCAAAAAAAAAGAAGAAAAACTGTACTTCATGGCAGAAACTGAAAGACTAGAAGATATAAAAGCATGGAGAAAAATTGTGGATACTAGAGACAGTGTGAGAGGAGGAGAGGAAATGGGGGAGGGGGAGAAGAAGGGAATCAAGGGGAAAAAGAAAGCAAAATATTTAAGGGACACAAAAATGGAAAATTATCTATTGATAACGTGTCTGATAATATCTTTAACTGGATTAATATACAGTGTATTCATGCTAGGAAAATTTATTTTGCATGCTATAATGATGCACATTTAATACATTCAGTATATATACATTCAGTATATACATTCAGCATTAGTATATATACTGAATGTATTAAATGTATATAATTTAATACATTCTTCTCTCATGATTTTGGGCACTCATGCACCCATGCCCAGAGTATTTTTCATGCTGCTGGGTCCTGGACTTGAACCACAGGGTTGGCCATGTGGGATTCAGTGCCTTAACCACCACGCCACCTGCCAGCCTGAGACTCACACCTTTTTTTTTTTTTTGGAGAGGTTTTATTATTATTATTATTATTATTGTTATTATTTGCTATAGGGAGTGTGTGCTTGCTAGAAAGACAGAGACAGAGAGACAGAAAACGAGAAATTACTCCCCAGGGTGGATGGCCATGCTGCAATCCCTATTCCTCCATTCTCTTCTCGGGATCTTGGGCACGCATGCACATGCACCTGGTGTGAGTTTAGCCACCGGGTCTGGGACTCAAACCACGGTTGACAACATGGGAGTCCAACAACGTAGCCATTACACCATCTGCTAGTCCTGAGACTCACACTTTCTTAATTTCCTGTAGAAACACTCAAAAACACACCTAGAATCATGCTTTAGTTTTTATGTATTCCTTAATCCAGTCGAGCTGCCCCCAAAATTAGCCATCTCTATGCTGTTGTGGGGTAGAGTTTTCTCTATCAGTCAGTTAAGCCCATCTGATCTATAATGTTGATCAAGTCTTATATTGTCTTATTGTCTTTTTGCCTGGTTGGCATATTTCTTTCCTTGAACAAAATTAGCCTATATACTAAAAGGTAATATATTACATGGTTCAGAATTTTGAAAGCATCAATACAACAGATCTATTTTTGTCTCCCAGA